TACTTCAGCTCGTGTCGGACGCTAGTGATTAGACTAGATATTCTGAAGACTTCAAGGTATACCTGCTTGATGCCCGCAGGCCTTGGAGTCACCTTCTACTACTATTTTTTCTAATGTTTACCTTCATTTCAAACAAAGTTATATTTAGAGATTTTTAGTGCATTTTTTGTAGAGCTTATGACTCAGTTCCACCAGTTTTGGGGATATTGTGACTGCTGTACCGTTTTCGTTTGATTATGATAATTATCAGTTTATTTTATTGTTTTAGTTGTTAATTTTACTAAATGCTTAATGTATGTTAGGCTTACCTAGTCTTAGAGACTAGATGCCATCACGACATCCTAATGTGGGAATTTGGGGTCGTGACAATAGCCTTGCTAGAAGCATGTAGCACGGCCATTGATTATATCTTCCCTGACTTAATACCTTCTTCCAAGAAATCTCCCATTTTGACCAGATCGGAGAATTTCTGACCCATCATTTCCATCATCTTCTCGAATTGGATTCCATCTTGAGTACAGATGAAATACTTAGTCAGCTTGTTATCATCCAACGGGGGTTTCACCCTAGCAGCTTCTGATCTACAACGACAAGCATATTCTTAAAATGATTCAGAGGGCTTCTTTTGTGATGTACCAAAGCGAATCTGTCCGGGGTGATCTTAATGTTAAACCTGAAACGGTTCTTAAAATCCTCGATCATGTCCTGCCATTCCCTCTTGTTTCTAGGGTCCTGTCTGGTGTACCAAGTGAGCGCTTCCCCAATCAAACTTCTTATGAACAATTTCATTCTTAACTTTTTTTTTCTCCCCACTTCGACCAATTTGTCACGGTATGCCCTTAAGTGAGCTTGGGGGTCACCTGTTTCATCAAAGATATCAAACTTCGGAGGCTTGTACCCTGCCGGCATATCAACATTAGGGTGTATGCAAAGGTCCTCATAATCCAAGCTCTCGCTCCTTCGAGCAACTTGCAGGTTCTTCATCTGTTTCCTTAATACCTGTAGTTATTCGGACAAGACTCATCTTCGTTGCATTTTGCTTCTCTCTCCATTTCGGCATATTGGTCTATCTCATAAAGCACTCTGACCGTGACATACGCGGTAAAGGTAGGTCTAGATGAGCTATATACGGGTGGAACATACCGCTCATGGGTGGCGGTGTGTTCCACAAGTATATACTCTGTGTGAGTGTTGGTGATAGTGGCGTTGTCACGAGGAGGGTTTTGGACCAAATTGGTGGTGGTTGGTGGATTTTGTGGGGCTTGGACATAGTTAGGGACATGGGGTGTATATGTGGGAGGGTTTGGTGTATTTACGAGGGTTACTGGTGGTATGTCTTGGGTTATGGAGGGGTTTGTGGTGGCAGTGGTCGGGGTATTAGCTGTTTGTCAGGATGATGAAGGAAAATGGACTGTGATTGAATCTAGTGAGGGAAAGCGGGGTGGTTGTGAAAGCTTCGCCATGGCCAGATGTGCCAACTCCTGGATTTGATGTACCTCCTCCTTTAACGGCTCCATCTCTTGTTACATTCGAGCAATGTGTTCATCATTCCGAGTATCTTCCTTTCCCCCTGACCCCCCTGGGTTATCGGCTACCACCAGAGCATTTTTCGGTCGGGTCATCTGTAGCAGCCATTTTCCCTTTGGACCTTAGGTTATATGGTGGCTCGACTAGTTCATATATCAACACAAATCAACCAGTTCGGGGATAAATAAATAAACCGATAAAGCAAGAAAATAAAGAAAAGTAGAAAGTCAGTCTCAAGGGTTGCACAAATATATTCACATAGAGCGGTTAATTAACATATTCAAACAAGCTCATTTCCTAAAATGTTTAGGGACCTCTCTTTCATGGAGGTAGGCCTATATCGCGAGCATTTTGACAATCAATAAGATTTTGACACATTTAGATCCGGAGCAAACTTAAATTTTCATTGATGTATCTTGCGGGTTACCACAAGGCTTCATCGTTGATACAAAGATTTGGGGGG